TAAATTTGCCTATTGATGATCGAGGCTAGACCTAAAATTCAATCGCTAAATTCTTGGTTCTGAGTGGATCAATTTGACATTTTCAGCAAATTCCCTTTACATTATCTAGTTTTTAACTCTTTATCTAATCTCCCATAATGTATCTTTAAATAACTAACCTAATTTGTTTATATAGCGCTGTAATAATTGTGGATCCATGACGCAGTTTGAGACCATACCTTTATATTTCGCGCTCATTACATTGAAATTAAAATAAGTTTAGAAGGTCGTTAAAATGATCTGACTGTGATCCATTGAACTCCTCTTGAAGAATGTGCAAATAATAGACTGGGGCCATAAACAGATTTGAGTATAAATTCCGCTATGTATTAAATACGTTCCTTAGCAACATCACCCAGTCTTAATACTTTCCTTTTTAATATATCACACTAATTTAAGAAATGGAAAAATGGCGGCATTCGTCTGGAGATTGAAATTAAAAAAGGGGCCTAAATATACAAAAATGCTATAAATAAACGACGGTAATAAAACTGTCTACGTCCAAATCGGTTTTAGTGCAAAAGAAACGACGGTTGATTTCCTTAACTTGGTTACCGTTGCTCTTTAAATGCCAAGATAAATTACTAGAGTCATCTTCAAAGACTAGTTAATGCTTTCGAGGTAAAAATGGGTTAAGATTGAAGCTATAAATAAACTGTTACATTGATTACGTCGACCGGAAATTGAATACTTCGTCCGATTTTTCAGCACATTTTACTTTGATTCTAACGATTGCGACCAGTAAATGAATATTTGCCAATAATCTTATTCTATGTAGAATTGGGTGGCCACCAGGTCGGGTATTTAAAAAGATAAATGCTTTTCTTGTTAAATCAATTGTGTGGTGTCCCTTTTAAGGCAAATTTACAACTGATTATGTTATTGAAGCCAAAATCTTGGTGATCTTTGGAGGAAAGTGGTGCATTAGGAACAAAAATTAAAAAGCTCAAATTGCATTCACGAATATCCCGAAGCAACTATAATTCGATTGACTCTAAAAGTCTAGAATTGTCGATTATGAAGAGGAAGAAAAAGATTTTGTAGTTATTTAAGTTCAGTTTTATCCCGAATCAGAATTCTTTTTTCGAAATTGCTTGTTAAGACAATTACCATTACTAACTAAATTGGCTGTGAATTACGGAATCATTTAACTGGAAAATCTTCAAATGTTGCAGCAACCATAAGAAAATCACAGATGTGATGATGACTGTAAATTGTAAATTAACTCTACAAATTTGAGGTTGATTTCAACAAACTAACCTTTCAAGATCAGTGAAGATGAGATCATTATCCCGTTTGTGAGATTGAAGACTAGTATTACAACTTGTTCACTTTAGTTGATATAGTTTGTAAGACAATTTGAAACAACCTGATTGAAATGCTTTCGATGACCTACACTATATGACGATCTGGTCGGTTCTAGTAGAAGGTCGCGCCAGGGGTCGTACCAGCGGATTTTGACCCTATGTCGTCAGACATTGATTAATCAATCAGCGTTGACGTTTCTAGTTTTTTACCCACAATTCCGTGCATCACACGCCAAGAACTCGCCGTAAGAGACCGTTTCATTGGCTAATGCCTCACTTCAACCAGAACGAGTGTTATATAACAACTCTTCCAGATCCTAGTGTAGTAAAGACAAGTAAAACGAAATTTTGAACTTTAAAAAACGAAACTAAATAGGATCTGTGTTTGAATCAGATTGAATTTGAAAGTCTGGTTAACAGAATGTCAGGGGTGTAGACGAATAGCGTTTTGTGTCGTTTGAAAAAACGATTTTGTCAGAGAGTATTTAAATACACATGACATCACCTCCGGATAAAAAAGTCCCCACTGATAACATGCGGTGATCTTTAGACTCAAGGCCGATTATACCACAATTACGGTAACTCTTGAAATCTAAGTCTACACCATCGTAGCCGGTGGCGTTCTCAGGGCAGGCTATGCTTACAGATATGGAAATTATACACAAATTAAATGTAAACGGGTTTAACCTCCTACTTTTCTGCACCAACCGGGAAAATGAAGATGGAATGTTTGTAGGTGTGTCGATATGCGGTAGTTCACTAGTTGTGTGTATTAGGTCATCTTTTAGCCTAAATTGTAAATAAAAATCCTTTATCTGCGGTAAAAGTTCCAGGGGAAGTTTTCCTTACATTCAGGGGGTTTCTACTACATATCAAACTCACTTGCATTAACTGGTGCACTGTGAACTAAATAATAGGAGCGGTTGATAGATTGTGATAATATTTGATACCACTCTCGGGAAATCAATGTTCAAAACGTAGTATTGACCCTTTCCTAGATCCTGCTCAATCTATATCATTCTTAAACACGACTGCTTGCAAACGGGATTTTAATTTAGTTCTTTTGTCTTAACGTTTTGTTCACGAGTAAAATTGAAAGAAATAAAAACGAACTCAACACTTCACTCTTATAGTATTTTCTTACGAAAATATACAATAAACCCCTTCATTTCGTTTTATAAAGACCCCTACGCACAAGCGAATTATTGAAATAAAAAATTAAACCATATGTTAGTCCCGAAATGACCTAGTTTGTGTCGAGTGGACGTTATAACCCATTTCTCTCTCTCTTTTTCGTTTTATACGCCTACATATAATGTGCATCTAACATTTCTTGTAAACCTTAACTTTTCTGATTTTTTTCGCATTTAGTAGTGATTGTACATTTCATCATGAGCAAGATATTAAAGAGATATATACGAGTTATTATATTGATTTTAGTTAGTTAGAAACTAAAGATCTGTACTTATCATTAAGCATCTCTTTTGTGGAATAAATTATCTATTATTTAATGATCTTGTTATACCGACCCTGTTTCTCGAAATCTTAACTAAAGATAAAATCCAAATATTAGTAGATACTTCAATTTTAATTGTCTAAGCACTAAAATCAATCTAATATTATCCAAATCAAATTACAAAAATCTGGATTTTGGTTATAGTTTTAAGAACAAATATGAAAACAATAAAAATAAAACACCGTTATCCTATATTCAGTGATAATATAGATTCTATATATCTCCATGAGTTACAGATATTATAAAGATATATAGGTATTATCAGTAAATTGATTCAATGGTTGAATTGATTTTATACACATGAGTTATAAATTAATGTTTGAGAGGTATAACAAATGAATAGACCTATATATTATGGATCGCAATGAATAAGAGATTAAAGATATCTTCGTTAAAGACAACGTTTTTGGATTTGCTACTGAATATTGACAGAAGGCAGAAACTCTACGATAATTCCTACAGTTGTGATTTTCCAATCGTAAATATTCCCTTATCTCTAGCTTAAAATGTGTGTGTGTGCGTGTAGGGGGGTTAGTCATATCACGGTTAAAGCTATAGGTTAGAAGATTTATGAGGACTTACAACTAATGAGACACGGCTATTTAAAACCCCAAACTAAATGTTGCATTCAAAAAATTCTCCTATTACCTTGTATTCGATAAGTCAGTTATTTTAGCGAGCTTCCCTATTTCATTGTTTTGACTTTGTATGCCATTTAGGACTGATGTAACTATAGTTTATTTATCAATATATTTGGTCGAGAAAGTTCATCGAGATTTTCAGACGTGCTTTCCCCACTAGTTCCTTTAGGAACTTGCTCTGAGCGGACGATGTCCACTGACAGTTTTTATCCGGCCCTATAGCTGCACTCATTCTGAACATCTGAGACACGCTACCTGCGGAGAAGTATCTCAGACACAGTCAGTAGCCATGATATCCATATCACGTGATCGACACATCACAGGTCATGACATTGGCGTCAATGGGTCATGAGGTCAACATTGTAAACAATAGGTTTATCTTCAGCATCGTGTCCGTTGCACCCATAAAGACTATATAATTCGTACAGTCCCAACATGTTCTCTCTTCTTCCAATGATTTTTCACAAAAATAACATCTACAACTCATAGAATTGACGTTGTCTTCAAAGAGGCCGCCATATTGCACTATTTTGTGCGTAGGTCGGGTCTATTTCAGATATACACAATCAATTCTGTTGATGTTTTTAGCGTTGGGATTGACTAATAGTTAATGTGTTTCAGTTCTAAAACAAATATTTTAAACTTTAACGCAAATTTAGAAAATAGCCAAATTCTGGCTGGGATTACTGAGCAAAATGGCCATTCACTGTATACGTGCGAAAAAAAAGCTAGCCGCCAATTAATTTTCGTACGTTAGTTACGTACGAGCTGCACTATGAAAATACGGTAAAATACCGCTCCCCACCTCTGTTCTCGTGCTGTTTTAGAACCCTAACCTTCTATTTTGCACCGTGATTCTTTATTTTTCGCCAAAAGGAATTATTTCTCACTATATTTGACACAAATGTATAATTTGTAATAATTCAACACCATTTTAAGCCGAATTTAGCGATGAAATAAACATGCGGTTTGCGCATGTTCGAGTCTCTTAATGGCCTATCAGTTCAAACGGATTTTTTGTATGTTTTTAATCGTAGAATTCTACTTGAAAATAGTGTTGAATCATTATAAATGTGTGTCAGTTGTGGCAAGAAATGGTTCCTGTGGCGATTAAGGATTAGTAGATAAGGATTCCAAAATAGTATTAGAACAGAGGTGGGGAAGAGCGGTATTTTCATATTGCAGCTATATACGGCCCGATAGGAACTGTCAGTGGACATCGTCCGCTCAGAGACTGTTCCTAAACGAACTGATTTCCCGCTTGTCAGTGGTGCAGGGTGGAGAGCCTGGGAAAGAACAACATATAGTCGTTCGGATGGGACGAACAATCAAAGTCCCGTGTACACATTGGTGTTCACAGAAAGACGGCGTGATATTTGGAATTCGGTATAAGGGTAGGTCGTAGCGCTGCTCTCAGGGTAAAATTAGCACAATCGGACAATAAAAGTAGGACTTGAAACCCCATTTCGTTTCATTTCATTTCCACAGGGATTTACCTGATAAAACGTAGCACACAGCTGCTGTTAATGTTTTCACGTCTCTATGGATACTGCCAACAACATTAAATATAAATCCCACAATACACAGTAATAAGGCTACCACAGGAAGTGGTACAGCTTTTCTTATAGCGGCTGAAAGAAAAATATAAACATTATATACATACAGGAATATTTATGTAAGGCCGTTTTTTTGTAGGGGAACAACGCTTGATATTCGTGCCAGATGTTTTTGTCTTATTCCAAAACCCAGTGCATTTGTATTACGTGCATCCCCAAATCGTACACGGAAAATCCTTTTTGTCTGGTCCAGCGTAGGGACATAATTTCTTTTTAACCCACACCGATATTACATCTTGTACAGAATGTATGTATATTTAATGTCGAAAAATCTCGAAAATGCACTTTTAAAGATTACGTTATTGACACACAATGAGGCCTGTAACAATTACATGTATTCTAGACATATTATCTGATTTTCACAAACCATTATTGGCCGTTTAGTAAACCTGTGAACACCAGGTTCAGAATAACATAATCAGATAAAGTTTGTATTGTATGATTCCTCTAAAAACGTATACAAATATATCAACAGAAAAGACTTAACTTACTGACGATGATCATGGACGTTTCGGCGTCATGTTCCCGACCACTGACAGCTTCCACGTTAAAATGTATCTGATCACAACTCTCCATAATCTCCCCTGCAAATATAAAAAACTACCCTTTATTTCTAGATATAGAATCTCCTACTCATATTTTTTTATATCAAAAAATATCAACACCAGTCAATAAAGTAAAATAAAATGGAACTTTGCCACTTGTTTTTTACTTTATCGACGAGTGTTGATATTTTTTGAAATAAAAAAAGATGAGTAGGAGATTTTATTTATTACCCAACCTTTTTTTACGCGCACAAATAAATAAATTAAATTCTTTGGTTTAGATTTAATTTTACTGAACCTGATTACATTACGGCGTAGTGATACATCATGTTTTGACAGCAAGTCAGCCGTTGCAAAGTCATATATATATGACCCGGCGTTTCCTTGATTGAATAATCAGTGTCACTGTCTATAATCGTTTATGGTAATTGAGAACTTTTCTCCAACAATATTACTGGATCCAAACAGTAGTTCCTTTTTAATAAAGAGAAGTAGTTCCCTTCTAATTGACCAATCCAATTTATCTGAAGCGATATCTCCTTGCTCAGTAGATTATGAAAGTTATCGCACAAGCGATATCTACTCCCTATTCACATGGCTAACAACCTATTAGATGATAAGGGGGCCTAGGTTATTCTACTTATGAAGCCCCTACCAATCCCCATCCCCATCCTGACGATTGGAGCCGAGTACAACTTGGAGGGGCGTTTTAAGGTTTATCATGGCAGAGGCTATACTATTTTTCGGGCCCTCTTCCTCGGGGGGGGGGGGGGGTCTCTGCCCCCAGCAACCTACGGTCGCGAATTTTGCAAAATAGAAAATATTTTGGTGCATTCTGACATATCCTACAGTAACAGTGTATATAGAACGATTGACTCGGACTCGGGGACCCTTTCCCTTGGCCAAAGGGGCCCTTTTGTCAGACGAGGGGCCCTTTTGGCAGAATAAAAGGGCCCTTCCTAACTAGGGTACATTTTCATCTTTCTTATCGGTTTTAGCATTTTTCTCCCGTTTTATTTTTTCAACTTCTTTGATTTTTTTTCGCGAGGGGGCTGGCGCCTCCAGTGCCTCAGCTATAAAACGCTTTTGACAACTTGGCCAGAGGCCCACCTAAATCTTGAAGCCCTAGGCTTCAATCAGTCAAGCTTATAGGCAAATCTGGCACACAAACCTTTTCTTGTAATTTCTTATTTAAGAGTAATATAATTGCTTTCATGCCAACCAGCTAAAAATAAATACAGTATGAATAAGCAATGAATGCTCATTTTTAATCATAAAAAGTTAATACAAATAAAATCGCCATTTCTTTAACTATAGCTTGAACAAGACTTGTTCATTCGGCCCGAACACTGTTTTATTTTATCTGGTCCACCCTGACACCGTTTATCGATCTTTCTGTGAAATAACAACTTGGTTTTATCGCGACTCTATAATTGAATATAATAGAATCTACTAGAAATGAAGTAAAATAAAAATGGATTAACAGATCGTCACAAAGTGAAGTATATATAACAGACACAGAATGATTGTATTAGCGGTAATTACATGGGGTTTGAACAATATTGTCAGAGAGAGAGAGAGGGGGAGAGAGAGAGAGAGAGAGAGGAGGGAGAGAGAGAGACAAATGGGGTTTAACGTTCACTCGACACAAACTAGGTCATTTGGGGATAACATATGGTTCAATTTAATTTTATTTCAATAATTCGCTTGTCCGCAGAGGTCTTTAGCAGTGGGAGGAAACCGGAGAAAACCTACGAGGTTGGACAGGCGACCCTACTCCGTGTCACGTACAAGCTTGGAATCGAAACCACGCCAGTTGACTCAATGACAGACCTTCACATCCAACGCCCATGCATGTAAAAATGTTAAATGACCTTTTAGAATGGTCCACATAATGGAATGTGGTTTGAAGTCTGGTCAACACAATACATCGGTCATTTGTTTACTTTCACGGATAGACCTCCGTAGGACGATTTACCAAATACTATCTAATACCACCCGATAGTACCACATACAACCCAATACCATCCAATAATACCCAATACAACCCAAAACTACCCAATACTAACTCAATACTACCCAATGGTGTTTTCCGGTTGTTTTCCGGTGTTTTCCGGTATATAGTATGGCCCAACGTATACGAGTGTTGTTTTACAAAAAAAAAAAAAATTATGTAGTTCAGTGGGGGGGGGGGGGTGCAACTCCCCCGTCTGGACCCGCCCCTGCATTTGGTACCAGATGAACCATGGTTTAAAAATTTAAAAATACGGTGTGCATGTGACACCAGCCATACAGCGAGGGTAAAACATACTATATTTAAATCGATTTGTAATAGTAAACCAGATGCTGTTTTATTCAAACCATGATGTAAGACAGAGGTGCTGGCAAGGGACAACGTATGGGACGAATCACTGAGGTTTCTTGTACACAATGGCATGCACGTAAAGGAAATGTTGGAAGATGGAGTTCAAACTAAGAGTAGGCAGTAGCGCCGCTGTCCCCATAGCACACACTACATGACGTATACCCATCTTCATTAGCCCAGTGGGAACAGAAAAGTAGGAAGTTAAACCCCATTACATTACATTTCATTTCAAACCATGATATCTCCATACGGTTATCATTCATGCGATAGGAATGCGACTTGGTTTTGGGGACTGAAATCAATTAAAACATGACTGTGTATATATATATATATATATATATATATCTTGTAATTATTTTGTATCAATAATACTGACTGATGCCGTACTCAACTACTTGCCCGGGAATAAATGTCTGGTTTCAGTCAAACCATAATGTTAAACTATTTATCACATCAACTCTCCCTGAACATGAAATAACAACCTGAAAGTGGGTTTCATCCCGAGAGATATAACCTTATAAACATTGTGACCGTGAAAATTGACGGACATGTCGCAAGTTATCAGAATTTGTCTTTAGGATATCAGAAAAATCAATCTGCCTGTCTAGAAACATCGTACAATGTATAAGTTACAAATTAATGATCAATATTTTTGTAAAGGAATCAATGCAAATTGTCTGCCTTATTTGGAGAAAACAATAACTAAATATCACGTCCGTGACCGAATTAAATACTCTGAGGTATCCACGGCCTCTACTTGGATTTCATCTGGTTTTGAGTTTTGAGTTACCGTGACGTAACTGAACCCGACAATTTATGGGGTTGGTGTAAAAAGTATGTTTTGCATGTAAACCAATAAACTTCCATGGACTAGTAGGTACGATAAAAAACATAGGCAAGATTATCAATTTTTGGATTTAATCATCAATGAGCGTTGGGCAGCAAATCGGATACAAATCCAGTTAAAATCGGACAGATAAGATGGCATCGAGAGTTGATTAAGATCTTTTCATGTTAATAAATGTCTAATTAATAGTTTATAGAACATTTCAGGCCTAAAGAAAGACCACCTACAATAGGCAGATTTACCACTTGCATATGTAGCACTTTGGTCCTTAAGACAATATTGGGTCTTTGAAATATTGTTGCTTCACTCTGTCTATAGAGTCAAATCACACGTACTTAATGAACGGGAATATATATTTATACATAAAAAAACAGTGATATTTTGGTAAAATCATAACCATTGTCAAAATATACATCAAATTTTATCTGTTTATTGACCTATGGTTGGTAAGGTAATGTTTCCTCCTCTGGTCTTGTGAAATAAAGAGATTTATTCCATATTTGGGATGGAAATTAACGTCACGGATCTAAGACGTGCCGAAATTAGGGGGTATAAAACAGGGTGTAGAGCGAGATTGGTCTAAGCTCACCCAGATATTCCAAGCAGCTATTATTATTGACAACGAGGAACCTTCAAAGTCATTACAGCTTAACAATAAAGTTGTAAGAACCATTTATTCTGTAGTGTTATTACGATCACGAAGAAAACAAACACAACAAGGAAAGAAGTTCGATAGTACTACACATAATGTATGTTTAACCATTTAATTGTGAGCTTGAAACTAGACATGGAAATTGTATTGTAGAGGTGTTTATGCCTATATGTGGCCGAGGTGGATATGGGGTGGGGTTGTAGTCGGGTTGAGTCACCAGTCCGCGTAGTCTTAGTATACGATAATCACAGAGTATTCGGGTCGGGTAAAGTACCTTTAGCAGATCTGTACGTTGTTAGTACCGCGTTAAGATGAAGGTTGGGATGGGGGATTATTTGGCGTATGAAAGCCAAGGGGCTTCTTACATGTAATACTGTAATTAAATTGAAGATGAATTAATCAGTCTTGGAAATGTAGACGTGGGTGCTGTGATAAGACGATGAGTCGTAAACAATAACGATACCATGTTCACCAGGTCATCTGAATAGATACACAATAGAGTAGATACACAATAGAGTAGAAATACACAACTAGATACACAATAGAGTAGAAATACACAACTTGATACACAATAGAGTAGATACACAACTAGATATACAGTAGAGTAGAAATACATAACTAGATACACAATAGAGTAGATACACAATAGAGTAGAAATACACAACTAGATACACAATAGAGTAGATACACAATAGAGTAGAAATACACAACTAGATACACAATAGAGCAGAAATACACAACTAGATACACAATAGAGTAGATAAACAACTAGATATACAATAGAGTAGAAATACACAACTAGATACACAATAGAGTAGATACACAATAAAGTAGAAATACACAACTAGATACACAATAGAGTAGATACACAACTAGATATACAATAGAGTAGACATACACAACTAGATACACAATAGAGTAGATACACAACTAGATATACAATAGAGTAGAAATACACAACTAGATACACAATAGAGTAGATACACAACTAGATATACAGTAGAGTAAAAATACATAACTAGATACACAATAGAATAGATACACAATAGAGTAGAAATACACAACTAGATACACAATAGAGTAGATACACAATAGAGTAGAAATACACAACTAGATACACAATAGAGCAGAAATACACAACTAGATACACAATAGAGTAGATAAACAACTAGATA